GGCGCGGGCTACGTAGACAACTTTGCCACCGTGTCCCTCGACCCTGATGTGGCCACGACGGCCTGCCAGGCCATGCGTGACGTGCTCGTGTCGAGGGGTCTGCCCGTCGACGAGTTCGCCCCCGCCGCCAAGCGCGTGGTCTTCACTGGCTTGGACATCCTCGGCGACCTCGGCATCGTCCGGTGTAAGATCGACAGGCTCTGCCGTTTGCGTCAAGCCCTGCTTGGTCTACTTAGACGTGGCTTTGCATCGCCTCTGGCCTTGTCAGCAGTAGTGGTGGGTCACTGTACGTGGGGTATGATCACCAATAGACCCATGCTGTCGATCTTCAACTCGGTCTACCGCTTCATGGGCCTGGACTCCCGAGTGGCCGCGCCGCTGTGGCCGTCGGTCATCGCCGAGCTGCGCGCGGCAGCCGCCCTCATACCGCTATGGTGGGCCGACGTCAGTGCAGAGTGGTCTGCGACTACCTTCTGCAGCGACGCCTCCCCCTACGGCATCGGGGTCTGCCGCAAGACCGTCGACCAGGAGGTCGCCGCGGCCGCTGGGCGCTTGTCTGAGAGATGGCGCTATCGGTTCTCCGACGCCGTGCACGCCCGTGCCCACGCGCTCGGGATCGAGCCTCGCACTGTGTTAGAAGCTGCCGTGGACAAGAACTGCCTCAAAGAATACCGCCTCAGTCCGAGGCCTCCTAAGATCCCTGGGGGCCCTCCGTCTACGGCATCATCGTTACATCAACCAGCTGGCGCTGCTTCCCTCGACGGCTTCGACGAAGTTCCCGACTCGATCACGGCTTTCGGCGGCTGCGCCACGATGCACAGTTCGCGTCACTCGAGGTTCGGCTTGGACATTATGCGATACGAGGCGGAGGCTCTCGGGTTTGCGATGCGACACTCGGCTCGGTCTGGACGGCTTCGTCATCATCGCATCTTGTTCACCGTTGACAATTTGGCTCTAGCTCTTGCCGCTGGCAAGGGCCGTTCTGGCGCCCGAGGCCTTCGCGACCCTCTACGCCGTCTATGCGCCCTGTCGGCGGCCTCGGGCATCCGCCACGCCATTCGGTGGATCCCCAGCGAGAGCAATGCCGCGGACTCGCCGTCCAGGACAGGCTTCTTCGTCGGGCCGACCTTCGAGGAGCACCAAGCGAATGCATCCCGAACTTCGACGGCAGCGGACCACGACACTGGCGGAGCAGAGGACCAGGACCCATCCTGGGCCAGTGCTGCTCGCCCGAGGGGCCCTGTCGGTGCTGGAGTCGGCCGCCGTGCCGGACACGACCATGACCAACTACTGGGGCGCCGCCAAGAAGTTCGAGGAGTGGTGCCGCTGGACGTCCCATACGTTCACCACGGCAGAGGAGGTCGATGTCATCCTAGTTACCTACTTCGTGAACCTCTTTCTGGACGGCTTCGACAGTGCCACGGGCCGTGTACTCATGGCCGCTCTGAAGCACTACCTGCCCGCGATCCTCGCTGGCAGGGCTCCGTGCCCACGGGCGGCTCGCGCCTTGACAGGCTGGCGGAAGCTCGTTCCCCCACAGATGCGACTCCCTCTACTTCGAGCGGCGATGGCGTCCATCGTGGGCGTCCTGATATCGTGGAAGCTCTTCGGCATGGCTGTATTCATCAGGCTGATGTTCGACACCTACCTGAGGCCAAGCGAGGCATACCGCCTCACGGCGGGGAGCGTGATACGACCTCGACCCGACGGCGCCCTGGGATACGGCCACTGGGCCCTGATCGTCAACGACGCCTGCCTCGACCGCCCTGGCAAGGCAGGCGAGATGGACGAGAGCGCGATTGTCGACAACCCGACCATCTGGCCGCTCCTGGAGGCCCTGGTACACGACAAGGGCCCGATCGACGGCCTTTGGACCTTCGCCCCCGACGAAGTGCGGAGCATGTTCCGTCGAGCGGCAGCTGCCCTCGGTCTGGAGACCGAGTTGACTCACTACTCGCTTCGTCATGGGGGTGCGTCCGACGACCTGCTGTCGCCCAGGCGCACGAGGAAGGAGGTCAAGGACCGCGGCCGCTGGAGGACGGACCAGAGCCTCCTCCGCTACGCGAAGCGGGCCCGCATGCAGCAGCGGATCTCCAGCCCAGGCCAGAACATTGTCGAATTCGGCGAGCAGGTGGACAGGCAGATGAACGACCTCATCCTCCAGACCACGGCCTCGGGCGTCTTCCCGCTGCAGGTGCCACTGGCCGTGACGCCGACGCCGCCTGCTGTCAGGCCGCCGCCCCCACAGATCACTGCACGGCGGGCCTTCGCCTGACGCGCCTGTGGCGCTCTGCCAGGCGGGCTTCTACGAGAAGCAGGTACTGCCCTGCGCTGGTGCTCGGCAGCGACGGTGGCGCGGCCCGCGCCCTGCAGCTGTTGGGCTTCGGCGTCGTGCACCTCGACACGAGTCGCCACGCAGGTGACGACATCACCGATCCCGCAGTGATGCGGCGCGTTTTAGGCTGGATTCGTTATAGCTGCCTCTCGTGCGTGTGGGTGGAACCCGACACCGCCACCTGGCTTCGTCAGTCGCCTGCTGTGCGTTCTAAGCTGTATCCTCGCGGCCTCCCGACCTTGACCAACTTTAAAGCTCGATCTGTTTGCATCGCCAACCTTTTCCAGGATCAGTACTTGCGCGTCCTGTCTGAATGCTGTGATAAGAAAGTGCCCGCCATATTGTGCCATCCCGGCGCGCCTTTTATATGGGGCGGCCGTGCGTGCACCACTCTTGTGAACCAGAGTTCATCTTCGACAGTTTTCGACTCCTGCATGTACTCTGGCCGTGTCAAGAACAGATTTCGACTTGTAAGCTGGAACGTGAAATATATTGATCGGCTATCCCTGACCTGTTCACATGTTGCCTCGCCGTGCCGTCACACTCGGAAGCGACATCTCGGCGAGTTAGGCATCCCATCGTTAGACCGTCAGGTGCGCAGCGCTGCGCGCCACCCTCCTGCTTGTATCCTACGATTCGCATGTGAAATGATGGCCAACAGTGTCGATAGCCTACGATACGTCTCCCGACTATCTAGATGTGTGTGATATTTCAGCTAAGTATTGCGGCTTTCAGCCAGTGTCTTGGACTAGCCATAATACCTGGTGCTGGCCCCTGCGGCATCAGAGTTCGTGTCCTCGCCTGGCGCCCTCTTGCACAAAAAAAACCATCTGGCCACGGAGTCGTCCACATTATGCTGCCCGCGGCTATTTGTGGCTCTCTTTCGGGCCGCGCTTCCATTCTCAAGTCTCTCCCTCCCCCCTTTTCTCCCTACTCAAGAATGTTTCTTTGGCCTGGTGCTGGCCCCTGCGGCATCAGAGTTCGTGTCCTCGCCTGGCGCCCTCTTGCACAAAAAGAACCATCTGGCCACGGAGTCGTCCACATCATCATCATCATCAGCATCATCATCACCATCGTCGTCGTCACCATCATCAGTATCATCATCATCACCATCATCATCATCATTATCATTATCATTATCATCATCAGCAGCATCATCATCAACGTCGTCATCATCATCTTCGTCATCGTCATCATCATCATCGTCATCATCACCACCACCATCACCATCACCATCACCATCACCATCATAATCCTCATCATCATCGTCGTCATGATCGTCATCGTCATCATCAACATCATCGTCGACATTATCAGCATCAACATCATAATCAACATAATCATCATCATCGTCACCATCATAAGCATTATCGTCATCATCATCATCATGATCCGCATCATCATCGTCATCACCATCATCATCATCGGCATCATCATCGTCATTATCATTCGAATCATCATCATCATCGTCATCGTCATCGTCATCTTCATCATCGTAACCGCCATCATCACCATCGTAATCATCGTCATCACCACCAAAACAATCATCATCATCTTCGTCGTCGTCATCGGCATCATCATGGTCATCGTCACCAGCATCATCATCATCATCATCATCATTATCATCATCATTATCATCGTCGTCATGGTCATCGTCATCATACTCTATCATCATCGTCGTCATCACCATGCTGATCACACTTCGCACGCCTCGAAGTTTCTCCTGCTCCTGATCATCTTGTTGCGCTAATGATCCCATTCCTCCTTTCCCTGCTCCTTTTCATCGCTATCGTCGTCGTCACCACCGCCACCACAATCACCATCGTTTTCATGTCCTGCGCCAACACAATGTGGAGAATGCGTCACATGTTACGGGTGTCCCCAGCCTCGGGACACGACATCTCGCCCGCTACGGCACCCCATCGAACAGTCGCCACCCCAGGTGTTGAAACGGCGCGACGGCGGGAATTGCCGCAGGCAGCTGCGCGGCATGGAACAACATCCTATGCCATCACAGAGAAGGCAAAACAGCCATGTGCCAAAGCTTACCCATCCAGTGTGCCTCTTGAAATATGGTTAGGTACATGTATCGCATGCTTACATGAGGTACCCTGTGTCATGATACCTTACCTTAGGGAGAATTCCACCGACCGCCCCTCCCTATTCTTCCTATTCTTTCCTGCTCCTACGCATCCTCTTCCTCCTCCTCCTCCTCCCACCATGCATGCCACGTTGGTACAGGACCAGAATTGGTCTCTTCACCAGCCCCAAAAAACAGCAAGAAACAATTACTTTCAGAAACGGTTGTGGCAACCCTTAGCATTCCACACTCGTTCGTGGTGGCGTACACGCGAACACTACAGTCAACTTTCAATTGAAAGACGTAGCCGGTGAAACACCCAATCAGCCGGTGAACGATCAGCCGGTGAGAGGTCCCATCTGGCCGGTGCAGGGTCCCACTTGGCCGGTGAAGAGACCAATAGCGGGGGGCCCCGCGCCGATCCGAGAAGTCCGCGCGGAGCTCCGAGCCGGTACGGTTGTGCCGGTCGAGGCTGCTCGCCCTGCAGGGCATCGACCATCCAAGATGTCCGTTTGGACGACCTTCCCGGGGCCCACCTGGCGGATCTGTTCGGCTCTAGTGCGACTCCAGTTCGCTTCCGCCTCGACTCGAGCCAGACTCAAGTCGACGGAGGTTCGACGCAACGTCGACGCACGAGTGGAGCGAGTGGCTTCAGGAAGGTCCCCAGAACGAGCATCTGAACCATCAGCATTTCAAGAAGCTCCCCCGCCACGAGCGCTCCGAGAACTTCTTTTGGGTCCAGCAGCAGCTGTGGCAGGAGTCGGGGGCTTAGTGGGCCCTGGAAGCGACAGGGCCGTTTTTTTACCGGTTCCGTTTTGCCGTTTTCTTGCCGGTTCTGACGCCGTTTTTTTTATCAGTTCCGTCGCCGTTTTTTGACCGATGCCGGCTCGGGTTCCAGTCCTGGAGCCGTTTTTGTTGCCGTTTCCGGTCGCCGTTTTTTTGCCGTTTCCATTTGCAAGGGGCATTTTTTGGGAAGCGGTGCAAAAACGGCCCAGCCGCTTCCGGGGCCCACAAAGGTCGGGGGCAACGTGGGGGGTTGATCGGCTCAGGGGGGGCGCATCGACCCCCGATCGCCCAGTCATCGCCGCCAGGGGCCCGCCGGCCCACCCCGCCCAGGCAGCATGCGGATTCACCATCGGCAGTCGGCGGTGCGTCGCCGACTCGATGCCGGCTCGGTGTTCCCCTGGGGCGGAAGGAGGAGGAGGAGGAGGAGGAGGAGGAGGAGGAGGCGGAGGGAGGAGGAGGCGGAGGAGGAGGAGGCGGAGGGAGGAGGAGGACGGAGAAGGAGGGAGGGAGGCGGAGGAGGGAGGAGGAGGAGGAGGAGGAGGAGGAGGAGGAGGAGGAGGAGGGAGGAGGAGGAGGAGGAGGAGGGAGGAGGAGGAGGAGGAGGAGGAGGTCCCCTGGTGGTTATCGGGTTATGATTCGGGTCTTCGGCCGCCGCTCGGGACCATCCAGGACCCCCCCCCGGAGCGCCCTCGGCGAGGCGCAGCCGCGGGAAGGCATCCCGAGGCTGGAGAGTTGCCGAGGACCAACGGAAACGTCCGAAAGCTTGGAACCTCGAAACTTCGCCCACCCCCCCATCCTTGCCTGAAGTCAGCGGGAAGGCATCCGAGGCTGGAAAGTTGCCGAGGACCAACGGAAACGTCCGAAAGCTTGGCGCCTCGAAACTTCGCCCCCCCCCCCGGGTGGGGGTGGTATCTTTGTGTAGGTGGCTTGTGTGTGTGTGTGTGTTCTTGTGTGTGTGTGTGTGTGTGTGTGTGTCTCCAGCTTTCTCATTGCCTTTCTCGTTTCCTGTATCCTTCGGTATTTCCCATTATCATTCTCTCTCTCTTTCTCTCTCTCCCTCTCTCTCTCTCTCTCTCTCCTTCTCTCGCTCTCTCTCTCTCTCTGCCGTTCTTGCCACGCCCCCTTGGGCTTCATTGTGGCCCTCTGCGCCTTGTCACAGGGAAGCTAAGACTCTCGGGGGAGCTGTGTAAATCAATAAATGCGAGAAAAAACAGCGGCGCCACAGATGCGCCATAAGTGTGGAAACATATGGGAAACGCATTAGAAACGCTTGACGGCGTAAACGTGCGAACACACTATTACTTCATGTATTTATTGTTTCTAGTCAGATTATTTGGGATTCTGTGTGAAAACACGAAATGCCAGAAAAAACAGCGGCGCCACCGATGCGCCAGAAGTGTGGAACCATATGGGAAACGCATTAGAACCGCTTCAAGGCGTAATCGTGCGCACTCACTATTACTTCATGTATTTACAGATTTTAATAATATTCTTTGGGATTCTGTGTGAGAGCAATGCGTGCGAGAAAAAAAAAACAGCGGCGCCACAAATGCGCGAGAAGTGTGAGAACATATGGGAAGCGCATTAGAAACGCTTGAAGGCGTAAACGTGCGAACACATCATTACTTCATGTAGTTTTGGTTTTTCATTCAGATTCTTTGGGATTCTGTGTGAAAACACGAAATGCCAGAAAAAAACAGCGGCGCCACAGATGCGCCAGAAGTGTGGAAACATGTGGGAAACGCACTAGAACCGCTTCAAGGCGTAAGCGTGCGCACAAATTATTATTGCATGTATTTATAGTTGTTTTATAATATTCCTTTGGGTTCTATGTGAAGACATTAAAAATCAATGAAAACGATGTGGTTTTCAATATTATTGTTCAGAAGTCAATAAAAACTATGTGTTTTCCAATCTTTTTAATCGAAAATCAATAAAAACGCTGTGTTTTCCAATAATTCCAATTATTTCCAATATTTTCCAATAAAAACGCTGTGTTTTCCAATTTTCCAATGTTTTTCAAGGTTTCGGGTACGGCAACGGGGCGACGCGCGATCCTTGCTGGAAAACCTTGAAAAATATTGGAAAATTGGAAAACACAAGGTTTTTATTGGAAAATATTGGAAATAATTGGAATTATTGGAAAACACAATGTTTTCATTAATTTTTGTTCAAAAAGATTGTAAACACAGCGTTTTTATTGATTTTTCATTAAAATAATTGGAAAACATAGCGTTTTTTTATTGATTTTCTTAATTAAAAAATTGAAAACACAGCGTTTTTATTGATTTTCCATTAAAAAGATTGGGAAACAAAAAAAAACACAAGCGTCATTATTGATTTTCCATTAAAATAATTGGAAAACACACTGTTTGTTTAATGATTGCTGTTGAAAAAGATTGGAAAACACAGCGTTTTTATTGATTTTTCATTAAATTAATTGGAAAACACAGCGTTTTTATTGAGTTTTTAATAAAAAGATTGGAGAACACAGCGTTTTTATTGATTTTCGATTAAAAAGGTTGGAAAACACAGCGTGTTTATTGATTTTTCATTGAAATAATTGGAAAACACAGCGTTTTTATTGATTTTTAAATAAAAAACTGGAAAACACAGCGTTGCCGTACCCGAAACCTTGAAAAACATTGGAAAATTGGAAAACACAGCGTTTTTATTGGAAAATATTGGAAATAATTGGAATTATTGGAAAACACAGCGTTTTTATTGATTTCAATAAAACCTTCTGGATGCGGAATCCATCCCATTTCTATTGAATTCCAATTGGAATCTAATTAGAATCCAAATAGAAATCCTCTGGACCTGGGACCCGTTCTCTTTCGATTGAAATCCTATTGAAATCTCATTGGATTTCAATAGAATCTTCTGGATGCGGAATCCATTCCATTTCTATTGAAATCCAATTGGAATCTAATTAGAATCCAAATAGAAATCCTCTGGATCTGGGCTCCGCTCTCCTTTCATTGAAATCCAATCAACAGCAAACGAAAAACTAATACAGACAGAAAGAACGAGAGGGAGAGAGAGAGAGAGAGAGGGAGACAGCAGAGGGAAATGAGAAACCAGGAAACACACACAAGCCACCTACACAAAGATACCACCCTTACCCCCCCCCCCCTGCCTCAAGTCGGGCGTGTCCCCTTTGCAGGAGGACTGTTCAAGAACAGCTAAAGCATAGTCCGGTGACGATTTCGCGTGCTCTTCTGGCTATGTTTGATTAGTTGTTGCCCCTGTTTTGTCTGTCGTCCAAAACCCGCCTGTAGGAGGACATGCCCGACCTAATCCTTGCCCCTCATGCAGCCCTGGCCCTCCTCCTCCTCGCAGCCTCCCTCAGGCTCGAAGCCTCTGTGGAGGCTCGGAGCGGCCATGAGCTGGAATCGGGCTCTGGCTAGTCGTCTAATTTTCTCCCTGTGGTCGCCCGCAGGCGCCAGCGCTATTTAAAAACTCCTCCTCCTCCTCCTCCTCCTCCTCCTCCTCCTCCTCCTCCTCCTCCTCCTCCTCCTCCTCCTCCTCCTCCCCTTCCCCCCCTTCATCATCATTGCACCTGAAGGACGGCAGGCGCTTCCCAGGCTTCGCAGAGTCCGCCGCCTTCCAGCGGCTGCAGGACCTCTTCGTCGCCGGCGCCGGGCTCTGCCTGGGGCTCCAGGGCGAGGAGCCGGACGCGAGCCTGGCGTCGACGTCCTTCGTGTGGGCGGCGGCGATCGGCCACGGGGAGGACCATGCGGAGAAGAAACGGCTGCGTGCACGGGAACTCACGGAGCTCCGCGCGGATTTCTCGGGGAGGCGCGCTGGCGCCCCCCCCCAGTGGCGGCGCCCCCCCCGCGCCGCCCCCACGGCTCGCGGAGAGCGCGCCAGGGGTGGGCCCCGGATGTCCAGACTTAGGTCGGGCATGTCCCCCTGGAGCCGCATTCTGGACGAAGAATTAAACGTTCCCGAAATGTTCAAGCATGGCCAAAGAGTACCCTGACTCCTGATCCGCCCTACTTTGGGCGATTTCGAAAGTAGGGCGAAAATTTCCGCCCTACTTTTGAGGCCCCTTTGAGCGTCGATTTCCGCCCTTGAGGCTCCTTTGGCGTCGATTTCCGACACAATTTTAGGCCGGAAAATCATCCAAAGTACGGCGGATCAGGAGCCAGGGTAGTTGAAGCATCGTCCCCGGCCTATGCTTACCGATCTTTGAATATGTTCCTCCTGCCGAGGGGCAGGCCCGACTCAAGTCCAGACCCCTTCCCTCCGGGACCGGTGTCTCGTCCCGACCTGTCTTGTCGACGGTCCCCGGGCGCCCGGGTGCGGGCCCCCGGGGGCCAACCCTGGAAGACGTGTCTATTTTGCTTTAGACGCGTATAGACTCGCGGCGCTCTCGTTCGAGCGCGGTGCGCGAGTGTCTAAAACAACCAGTTCTAGACACGAGTAGACGCGCGGCGCTCTGGCTTGCACGGCGTGCTCGAGTGTCTTCGAGGCTGGCCTCCCAGGCTTGGCGCCGTGCAGTGGTTGCTGCGACCGCGAGGGGATGGGGCCCCAGCGCCGATCCAGGAAGAGCCGCGCGGAGCTCGGAGAGCTCCTGCGCGTGCCGCTCTTCCTTCCTCGGGCCCTACGGAGCACTTCCACGGCCCTGGCCACCTCCTCTCTGCGGCGTACTACGCCGACGCGCCTGAGGGCTCGGGCAGCATCTACTTTGCCGACCCGCGGGGCCCTTTCCCGCCCTTCGCCGGCGGGTTCTTCGGCATGACGCCGCGCTCGGGCGACTTCCTGTTCTTTCCCTCCTGGCTGCGGCATGGCGTCAAGAAGAGCTACTTCAAAAAGAAGGGTGTCAGACGAGTGGCTTATCGAAGACGCCCTCGGCAAATCACCGCCGCCCCCGGCCTTTCGGAGTCGCCCACGTGGCCGCACGTTGTGGCCAGAGCTCCGCCCAGGCATCGGGCCATGTGCTCCCCCAGCTGTTGGGGAGGATGGCGGAGAGGAGGAGGAGGAGGAGGAGGACGACGAGGAGGAGGACGAGGAGGAGGACGAGGAGGAGGACGAGGAGGGAGGAGGAGGAGGAGGAGGAGGAGGAGGAGCAGGAGGAGGAGGGGGCATCTTGGGAGCCTCTTGGGGCCCTCTTGAGATCTCCTGGGAGCTTCCTGGGGGCCTCTTGGAGGCCTCTTGGCGGGCTTCCTTTTTGGCCTTTTGGGAGCCTTTGGGGGCTTGTTCGGGGCCGACTCAGGGGGTTCCTGGCCCGTCTGACGTCGTCGGACGCCGTCTTGGATGCATCTCTGAACCGACTTGGGGCCCTCTTGGGGTGCTCCAGGGCCGTCTTGGAGGCCAGATTGGGCGTCTTGGAGACCTCTTGGGCCGTTATGTTTCCATCTTTGGGGCCCTTTGGAGCCACCTTGGGGCGATCTTGAGGTCATCTGCGGCCGTCTCGGGCCGTCGGAAGTCGGAAAAGAAACAAATGCTGAAATCCTTCGAACACCTAAGGAAAATCAATCATTTTGGCCTCTTCGGGCCGTCCTGGAGGACCTCTTGGAGGCCTTTTGGGCCGTTTTGGGAGCCTCTTGGGGGCCTCTTGGGCCGTCTGCCGCCATCTTGAGGCCATCTTGGGCCGTCTTGGGTGCACCGTGGGCCAACGTGGAGGCATCTTGGATGCTCCCGGGGCCGCCGAGGAGGTCATCTTGGACCATCATGCGCGAACTTGAAGGCCATCGTGGCCGTCTTGGAGGCCATCCGGAGCGGGAAAAAAACGTTTGCAGCCACCTCTGGGCGCGCCTTCTGGTTGGCTGGCGCGCTGGCCGGACGCCCCAGGGGGAGTTCGAAAGGAACCAAGAACCTCAGGACATCTAGCACGCCAGGGCGCTGAATAAGGAACCCTTTTCGTTGGGGAGGGGCTTGGTGTTCCTTGATTGTCTTACAGTTTGCCTTGGGTGTTCCTGAGGTTCTCCATGGGACGTCGAAGTTTAACTGATGGGAAAAAGGGAGCCTCGTTCCTTATTTGGGGTTCCTTAGGTCAACGCCCCGACTGTAGCACGCCAGGCAACCCTATGGCGTAAATGGCAAGCCAGCGGAGGGCGGCGGATCGAAGACGCCTGCGGCGAATCACCGCCGCCCCCCTGCCTTTCGGAATCGCCCATGTGGCCGAGCGTTGCGGCAAGAGCTCTGCCAATCTATCGGGCCATGTGTTCCCCCAGCCGTTGTGGAAACCCTTCGGGGAACACTTGGAGGAGGAGGAGGAGGAGGAGGAGGAGGGGGCATCTTGAGAGACTCTGGGGGCCTTTGAGCGCTTCTCGGGGGCCTCTTGGGGTGCTCCAGGGCAGTCTTGGAGGCCTCTTGGGCTGTCTTGGGGCCCTCTTGGGACCGTCTTGGGGGCCTCTTGGGCCGTTCTGGGGCCATCTGCGAGGCCTCTTGGGTGATCTTGGGGCGATCTTTGGGGGCTCTTGAGCCGTCTCGGGCCGTCGGAAGGCGGAACAGGAACAAATGCTGAAATCTCTCAAACACCTCAGGAACATCAATGATTTGGGCCTCTTAGCGCCTTCCTGGGGGCCCTGTTGGGGGCCTCTCGGGCCGTCTTGGAGGCCTCGTAATCAGGGGCCTCTTGCGGACCTTTTGGGCTGTCGCAGGCCATCTTGAGGCCATGTTGGGACGTCTTGGGTGCATCTTGGGGCCATGTTGGGGTCTTTGGGGGCCATCTTGACCGTCTTGGAGGCCGTCTTGTACCATCTTCGGCGAACTTGGGGGCCCTCTTGAGGCCGTCTTGGAGATTTCTTGGGCCGTCATGGGGTCAACTTCGAGGCTTTGGGGACCATCTTGGGGCGATCTTTGGGGCCTCTTGGGCCGCCTTGGGCCGTCCGAAAGCCAAAAAGAAGCAAATGGCAGAATCCTGCAAGAAACCTGAGAATTCAATGACTTTGACCTACTCGGACCCTCCTGGAGGATCTCGTGGAGGCCTCTTGGGCCGTCTTGGAGGCCTATTGGGGGCCTCTTGGGGGCCTCTTGGGCATTCTTGGAGACTTCTCGGGCGGACCTGGAGGTATCTTGGACCCTCTTGTGCCGTCGTCGAGGCCATCTTGGACCATCTTGGGCGAACTTGGAGGCCATCGTGGACCATCTTGGGCGAACTTGGAGGCCATCTTGGACCATCCTGGCCGTCAAGGAGGCCACCTGAGGAGGCCGTCTTGAGCGGAAAAGCCGACGAGGCAGGCAGCCGCCGCGCTAGGCCGAGGCCCCGAGGGGGAGCTCCTTTGCAAGAGAGCCAGTACCACCCCCTCTGAGGCGAGGAGGAGGAGGAGGAGGAGGAGGAGGAGGAGGAGGCGAAGGAGGAGGAGAGAGAGGAGGAGGAGGAGGAGGAGGGGAGGCGGAGGCGAGGAGGAGGGGAGGAGGAGGAGGAGAAGGAGGAGGGGAGGGCGCGGAGGAGGGGCGGAGGAGGGAGGAGGACGCGGAGGAGGAGGAGGGAGGAGGAGGAGGAGGAGGAGGAGGAGGAGGAGGAGGAGACGAGCCGAAGGGGGAGGGGATGTCAGGCGATCGCAAGCATGGGTTGAGGGGGCGCGGACTAGCGACGGGTCCCGTTTCCATGGGAAATCGCTCATTTCCGCCGCCGAGCGGGGCGGCACCGGCCGCATTTTGGGGAAGGCACCTCCCCCGATCCATGGATTTGCCGACCGCGCGCCAAATCCATGGATCGCTAATCCATGTTTGCGCGCCCCCGACCCTCAGGACATCTAGGACGCCGGGCACTCCTGTGGCAAGTCCACAGGGGGCGGCGGATCGAAGACGCCCACTGCGAGTCACCGCCACCCCCCTGCCTTTTGGAATCGCCCATGTGGCCGAGCGTGGTGGCAAGAGCTCTGCCAAGCTATCGGACCGTGTGTTCCCCCCAGCCGTTGTAGAAACTCTTCGGGGAACACTTGGGGAGGATGGCGGGGAAGATCAGGAGGAGGGGGAGGATGAGTGCATCTTGGGAGCCTCTGGGGGAGGCAACTTGGGGGCCTCCTTGGGCCTCGTGGGGGCCTCCTGGGGGGCCATATGGCACGCCCACGGAGGGCGGCGGATCGAAGACGCCTGCGGCGAATCACCGCCGCCCCCTGTCTTCTGGAATCGCCCATGTGGCCGAGCGTGGTGGCAAGAGCTCTGCCAAGCTATCGGGCCATGTGTTCCCCCAACCGTTGTGGAAACCCTTTGGGGAACACTTGGGGGAGGACGGCGGGGAAGATCAGAAGGAGGCGGCGGAGGAGGTGGAAGATGAGCAGGAGAAGGAGGGGGTATCTTGGGAGTCTCTGGGAACACGCTTGGGGCCTCCTGGAAGCTTCCTGGGGGCCTCTCGGGGGCCTTTGGGGGCTTCTCGGGGGCCTCTTTGGCCGTCTTGGTGGGCTCCTGACCCGTCGAACGCCGTCGGAAACCGTCTTGGGGGCCTCTCAGGGCTGACGTGGGGTCCTCTTGGGGTGCTCCAGGGCGGCCTTAACCACATGGGACAATCAATTATTTAATCGCTTCGCTCATTCCGCCGGCCCATACAGTCTCATGTCTGCCGTTTGCCCGAGGGCCTGGTGTCAATGCGGCGCTTTGGGGGTTCCTGGGGCCGCTTGGGGGACTCCTGGGGCGCTCGGGGGGGCATTTGGGGGGCCTCCTGGGGCCGCTTGGGGGACTCTTGGGGGCCTCCTGAGGGCCCCGTGGGGGCCTCTTGGGGCCTCTTAGGGGCCTCGTAGGGGCTTCTTAGGGCCGAGGGCTCGAAATGTTGTTTCGTGTTCCCTCTCTGGGGCCCCTTTGGGGGCGTTCTTGGGGCCCTCTTGGACCGTTTTGGAGGCTTCTTGGGCCGTCTTCGAGCCCTCTTGGGCCATCTTGGGGCCCTCTTGGGTGCCTCTTGGGCCCTCTTGGGGCGATCTTGGGGGCCTCTTGGGCCGTCTTGGGGCGTCGGGAAGCCGAAAAGGTGGAAGCTCCAAAATCTCTCAAAAACCTATGGAAAAACAATGATTTTTGCCTCCGGGGGCCCTATTGGGAGTGCTCTTGGAGGCCTCTTGGGGCGTCTGGGGGCTATCTTGGGCGTCTTGGAGCGATCTTGTGGCATGTCGGACCCCTCGTGTACCATCTTGGGGGCCTCTTGGGGGCCTCTTGGCCTTTCTTGGGGCTCTCGGGGACGTCTCGGAGCCCTGTTGGTGCGCTCATGGAGCGCTCGGGGGGACCCGGCCGGGACCCGGCCGGGACCCGGCCGGGACCCGGCCGGGACCCGGCCGGGACCCGGCCGGGGACCGGCCGGGACCTGGTCGGGGTACTTTTCGTCCGGGGACCCCCAGGGGCCGCCCCGCGCGCGCGAACTAGAAAATTGTTAACCAGTTACCGGAGATCTTAGCACGCCTCTGGCCCGTTGGGCCGGCGAATTTTGGCCTCTTCGGGCCGTCCTGGAGGCCCTCTTGGAGGCCTATCTTAGGGCCATCTTGGGGCGTCCTGGTGGGTTCCTGGCCCGTCGGAAGCCGTTTGGGGCGCCTCTATGGGCCGTTTTGGGGCCCTCTTGGAATGCTCCAGGACCGTCTTGGAGGCTTTCTTGGGCGTGTTAGAGGCCTCTTGGGCCGACTTTGGGCCCGCTTGGGGCCGTCTCGTGGGCCTCTTCGGCCGTTCTGTGGCTATCTTGGGGGCCTCTTGGGCGATCCTTGGGCGATCTTTGGGGGCTCTTGGGCAGTCTCGGGCCGTCGGAAGGCCGAAAAGAAGCCAATGCCAGAATCCTTCAACAACCGAAGGAAAATCAATGATTTTGGCCTCTTCGGGCCTTCCTGGAGGCCCTCTTGGAGGCCTCTTGGGCCGTTTTGGGCCATCTTCGAGCCATCTTGGGCCGTCTTTCGTGGAGGCATCTTGGAGGC